ACGTATTTATGTATGATATATTTAAATTTTTGATAATGATTATAATAATTAATAATTTTGCTGAGGAAAATTATTGTTGCAATATGTTGCTTCTATTAACCTTTAAGGAATAATGTTTTCTTCACACACAATCGTTGACCGATTTTTATATTGTTTTTAACTACACATGCTACGGTATCTTACAATTTCTTCTTATTTTTTTCAGCTTAAAAACCTGTATTTTTCTTATTTACTTCATTATTATATTTTTTTCTTCTTTCCTTCATCTAAATTTTGCTTATTATCTTACAATTAATTGTAACTTTCCCGTATCATTTCTTCTTTTATTTTGCGGATTTTTCTTCTTCAATCTTCATTTTAGATGCACAAAATGCAAGCAAGCATAAGACATGTTTTACGTTACTTTATGTTTTCATTGTGATCTCGGTGCATCTTCGCAACGGCGCATAACGAGCAAAGTGCGTTTTCGCGTCCGTCTCTGTTGCATCCAGGGCACGTATCTTACCTTATTGGTGCAACTCCATTGCATTGCCTTCCCTGCACAATCGTGCCGCGTCGGCTGACGCATTGCGATTATGCAAGCCACCGGTATTTATTTCGTGCTCGCGATTTCATCCCGTTTCATCTTTCCTCCCTGATCTCTTTTTTTCGAATTCTTTCGTTCATTCTGGTTTTTTTTCTCACTTTGTGCCCCTTGCGAGAGATCGATCGATCGTTTCAAATTTTGCAACTTGATCAAAGTTTCAAGGCCTATATGCTCTTCGTTTCTCGTATTATATATATATATTTTCCTATAGGATATACTTATATATAGAGAAAAATTATATATAATTATTGAAATTTTACATGAGATTAAAAGAGAAATATATCGAATGTTTTTATTGAAAAAAATAAAAATAAATTTTTATTCAATTTTTATAACTTTAATTTAGCAGATTAATCTCCAGAAGTGTAAACAAATAAATTTGATATTTTTATAATTTAAATAAATTTGAATTAAATTATTAACTA